CCTCCCCCACCCCTTCTCTGTGAAAGGACTTAGTGTAGAATAAGTGGGAGCTTCACGGCGCAAGTGAAATATCACTACTTTTAACGTTAGTTTATTTATATCGTGAGGTGGAGCCGGGCCCGATCCTAAACGTTAGAGGAGGAGGAGGAGGGGGTGGAGGGGGAGGAGAAGATACGGCGGAAGAGGAGGAAGAACAAAAGGGGAGGACGAGGAGGAGGAAGAAGAAGATGACGAGGAGGAGGAAGAAGAAGACGACGAGGAGGAGGAAGAAGTCGAGGAGCAGGAGATAGACATGGCGCAAGAAGAAGAGGAGGAGGAGGACGAGGAGGAGGAGAAAGACATGGCGCATGAAGAAGAGGAGGAGGAGGAGGAGGAGGAAAACGCGGATGAAGAAGCGGACGAGGAGCGGGAGGTAGGGCAACGATCCACTCCACGCCGGAGGAGGTTCCAGTTTGAAACCAAAAAAAATAAAAATAAAAATAAAACGCTAAATAACTCAGTGTATCACCAATCGCATTGATTGATTGATTGGGTGTGTGTGTGCGCGCGCGCGCGCGCGCGCGCGCGCGAGAGAGAGAGAGAGAGAGAGAGAGAGAGAGAGAGAGAGAGAGAGAGAGAGAGAGAATCAATCGTTCGATTTGCATTCTATGGATGGATCCAATCAATCAAATCCAATCGATCAATCAATCGATTGGATCTGTCCGTCTGTCTCTCTCTTTCCCCCCGCAAACACACATACACGCACACTCACACACTCACTCCTCATGTGTTGCTCGCGTGAATGTTTGCGCCCTTTATTTTTAATTAAAAGCCTTTATTTTTAATTGAAAGCTCGATAATTAAAAGAAGACGCGAAAATGCACGCACTGGACATGCGGGTGGATTTATATGGGAGTGGGGGCTCCTGCGGGTGGATATCAAGCAGCGGTTTTCTTCTCAGTCGGCGATTGAGGGGTGGCGGGGAGAAAAGTAAACAATGAGTGGGGTGTACGATGGGGAGAGGGCGCCGGGGCGAGTATCATAGGGGATCGGAACAAATAAGGGAGGAGGGAGATGGAGTGAAGAACATGGGGAGAACTCTCTCTCTCTCTCTCTCCACTCTCCACTCTCCACTCTCGCCCCATCCTCCCTCCCTCTGCTGTGGGGTCCAAAGGTAAGGAGATGATGTATCATCGAGGTACTATGCTATCGAAACAAGGCTATAGTTGGAGATCATCAGCTGTGGGGTCCAGAAGCAAGGAGATGATGTATCGTTGAGGTGTAGTATCGAGAATAAGGGGGGGAGTCCTTCGGGACATCCGTTAAAATTGGAACGATACAGAGAAGATTAGCATACCCCCTGCGCAAGGATGACACGCATAAATCGAGAAAATAAGGGGGGATGTAAGCGGAATGGTTTGGGGGGGAGCAGACACAATTGGCACGGGGCAATATCAAGTTACGGTTGGTGGTAGTACGAGGGTTGGGAAACGGAAAAAAAAAAAAGAAAGGGTTGGGAAACGGGTGAAAAAAAGTGAAGCTTTATATGGTGGTAATCATGAGGCGAAGTTGGGGCTGAAGGGGGGGGTGGAGGGTTGGGAGTTTTTTTTTACTGAATGGGGTGATGTGGGGATATGGGTTGGGGATGGGGGGACGAGGGGGAGGTGGTATGAGGTGGAGGATGGAGGCAAAAAGGAATTGAGGGTTGGAGACGGGAGGATGAGAAGGAGAAGGTAGGCGAGGGGGAGGATTAGCTGGTGCAATCGATAGCCAATGCTGGTGAGTGCGCTGGATAGGCGAGAGGAGAGGGGATTGGGTAGGAGATCGTAAATCTTCTACATAGTGTGCGAAGGGGGCGGTCTGATGGTGTACTGGCGTGATGATAGCACTTGTGGGACATAGAATGAACTTTTAGTGGGTGCTATCACATAGTGTGCGCTCAGCAGGTTTTGTTTCCTTTGGAGATTAGCGATCCTTGTGTGTTCGGGCAGCAATCTGGAAGGATTTTCACACAATACATTTTCATTTTGAAAAAAAGAAAAAAAAAAAGAAAAGAAAATCTTCTACAAAGCTGTTGTTTAAAAAGAAAACTATATATAGATATCGTCAGACAGAGCTGCGTGGTAAACCGTAGGCAGAGAGGGAGGGAGAAGAGAAGAGGACAACAAGCGAGCACTCGTGGTTAATGGGTGGTGCTATTTTCGGCGAAATTTTCACCGAAACTGCCATATTTCCCTGAATTTTTGCTTTTTTCTTGTTTTTTTTTTGTGTCTGATATGTATGTGCTTGAGGGTATATCTGTATTCAGTTTCAGCGTATTTGGACGAGTAATGAAGAAGTTGGCAAAAACACCGAATTCGGGAAAAAAATTGGCGAACTCCAAAAGCTACTCCGAATAGAGTTTTATAGTCCTTTTGAGTTTTTTTTTTCAGTTTTTTTTTGCCTGTTTCGTTTTTTGATGTTTGTATTATGAACCTGCATAGTTTGTTCGCAAAATTTTCCACGACATTGCGTGTAGTGATGCGGCGAAAAACCCCGAATTTTGGGCCTTCCATTAACCGCGTGTCCAATCGAGGGGCTTTGACAAACTGTTGCGTCGGAGTTTCGTCGGAGTTTCGTCGGAGTTTCACCGATAGTGGAGTGGAGATGATCACTTACAGTGTAATCAGTCAGTTAGGGGATTCTGTGCAGAGTGTCGAGGGTTCAGCCGCCTCCTCATTGATGAGTAGGTAGGTGAAACTCCGACGAAACAGTTTGTCACAACCCCTCGTTTGTTGTCCTCTTCTCCTTCTCTGCCTACGGATTACCGGGCAGCTCTGTTTGGCTATAAATAGATGTAAATTTGTGTTTGTGGCGACAGGTTTTACTGGGGAGTCAGCAGGTTGGGGATTGGGGAAAGGGGAAAACGGGGGGAGGACAAGAATGTGGTGGTTACGGAAGCAGTGGAAAGAGAGGGGGAACAGTTGGGGAAAGGGATTGTGATGATGTGCGAGAGTGAAAGGGGAGGAAGGGAGGGAGCGCCGATGCAGGGGAGGGAGGGAGAGAGAGAGCAAGAGAGGGAGGGGGGGGAGAGAGTGATCGGTGGAGCAAGATTTGGTATATCCGGGGAGAGAGAGAGAGAGAGAGAGAGAGAGAGAGAGAGAGAGGGAGTGGGTGAATGTTGGTGAGTGCGTTTTCTTCTCCATCCCCCACCCTTTTCTTGCCATCCCCTCCTCGCCCCCCTTTCCACTCCCCTCCCCCCTCCCCCTCCGTCTCCCCCCCTCGCGTTTGGACACTCCCCCTCCGCCGTTTTGAAAAAAAGATCAATCAATCAATCGAATCGAATCGATTGGTCGATCGGTTGATTGATTGATTGATTGAACCCTCC